CCTGTTTGATTGCGAGAGAGCAAGAGAGCCTTGTACATGCCATACACATTACATACATTATCATTTTTTAATTCTTAAAACCATCATGTTTGGTAAATATTTTATCCCCATTTTACAGATGAGGAAACTTAGGTCCGGGGAGCTTAATATAACTCTTTGATCATAGAGCCGATAGGTAATAGAGCTGATTTTCAAGCCAGCTCTGCTTGAACCCAAAGCCTGTATTCTCCCCATTCTACATACGGGCTCCCAGCACCTAGAAAGCACAGAATAAATATTAGATATGTTTTTTGTGGAGTGCAAGTCCCAGGTTAACATGCAAAGAAACCCTTCATAAGCATTTTTTTGTTGATGGTGACAAGGAGGGTCCAGCTGTAGCCCTCATCCCTGTCCATTTCTTCTCTTTCAGGCCTTTCTGCAGAGGTCTGGCCTCACTGCAGATCTGCATGCCTTCTGCCAGGCTCACAGCTATGATGTCCTGGTCGCCATGGCTATCTTTTTCAACACTCACAATGAGCCAGTGCGGCAGTTGGCTGTTTTCTGTCCCCATGCAGTGCTCCGAATGACGGTGAGTCTCTGTCCCTTCTCCAACCTTAGGGCCATGCAGAGCTCAGCCTGTACACGCTGCCCTGTGCTGTAAACACCTCTCCTTGGTTCTTATCTTTACACAGAGATCCCTTGACCTATTTCGAGAATCTTCCCTCTCCGCTTTTTTCCATTCTCTATGTGAATATCCTTAATCATACTGTTGTTGAGAAAAGGAGATGCCAAAGACCATTAGAAATACAATTCCTGCTTAGAAGGAACTTGAACTCCGGTTAAAAGGAAATGTTATAAATCTGGAGTTTTTAACCAATTCTTGGTTTAATTATTAATTCCTCATCCCTGAAAATCAATTCCTATCTTCTACCCTGTTGCCTTGAAAGTTGGAAACAACAAGAGAAACCTTTTCTACTACTAATCATGCAGGGACTAATTACTCAGTATAGTGCTAACTCTGTCAAGAAGTGATCCAGGAGCAGGTTTGTTTTCTTTTCTGATCATCCATTTGGCCACCTTTCCTACCCCCTCCCCTTTCTTTTCCTCTGTTGGTTACTAATTAGCCCAGGAAAGAATTTAAATGTGGACTTAAGGCATTCCAGGGACTCTTTGGGTTGCATAGGCTATGTGAAGACTGCTGAAGACTGGTCTGAATAAAGCCAGATAATCCTTTGTGCCCCTAAAATGTTTGTCCGCCCTTTCCCACCTCTCTTTGCCTTTATCTTCTCCAGGAAGCAAATGTAACTCCATTCAGTGGAAGGTAGTTTGCCATTGTGGAAAGAACTACAGTTTTTGTTTTTGTTTTTTCTGAGGAAGATTTGCCCTGAGCTAACATCTGTTGCCAGTCTTCCTCTTTATTTTTTTATTTATTTATTTTTTAATGTGAGCCTCTGCCACAGCATGGACTCTAACACATGAGTGGCGTGGTTCCAAGTTGGGGAACCAAACCTGGGCTACTGAAGCGGAGCGCACCAACCTTTAACCACTAGGCCATCGGGGCTGGCCCAAGAACTACAGTTTTTAAAGGCAGATAAACATGCTTTTCTGTCCCAGATTTGCCACTTACTAGCGCTTTGAGCTAAGGCAAGTCAGTTGACTTCTGAGTCTGTAAATGGTGTAATATTACCTACTAATTAGTCTGATATGATCATTAAACACAATATCATATGTAAAGTACATTGCTGGGCACAAAATAAGCACTCAGTAAATGGTGCCTCTTACTAATCATTTCATGAAGGAGAGGGTGCTTCCGCTATAAGAAGGGCCTCTCCCCACCTTCCGAAATCTCCCCACCTTCTCCCTGCACAGCCCCTGTGTGCTGCTCCTCAGAAGCTGTGCAGATATCTGATGACTCTACCATTGCCCAGGCTGCCTCTGTGCTGGGAAATGAGAGTCCTCTTCATGGTCTGCCCTACCATTTCCTCTCTTCCTTCTATGTTAGGAATAGTATAATAGAGTGATTTAGAACAACCGGCTTTGGTGAGAGACATGGATTCAAGTGTCACCTTTGCTTCATTCAAACTATGACCTTAGGCAAGTTACCTAATCTATCTAAGCCTCAGTTTCCCGACCTGTAAATGACGGTAATAGTAATACCAATCCTATAAGGTAGTTGTGAGGATTAAATGAGATAATATTTGTAAATGACCAGACTTGGCACCATGCCTGGCATACCTCCCAGCCCCAGTTTGATGTAGGCATGCTTTCTGCCTCTATCCTTCCCCTGACCTCAATATAGATGCTTGTCCCATCCCAGCTAAGGATAGAGTTCAAGTTTTTGAGCACCGGAATACACTTGGAAACAACACTAGGTTAGGAGCTGGGGGTCTTGGGTTCTGGTTCAGACTCTACCATCACCTACATGATTTTGCTCAAAACACTTAATCTCTCTGAGCTTTGGTTTACTTATTAATAAAATGAAATATATGATCTCAAGTGTTTCTTCTGTTTCTGAAATACTATGTATATTAGCTGATGTGCCTTTTATTGCAAGCAATAAAACTGAACTCTGCATGACTTAATGAAAAAAAAAAATTTCTCTTCTATAAGAGAAGCCTCTAACTTAGAAGTCTTAGTTCTTTGCTTCACCACCTTACACACCATTTCCCCGTCTTGTCTCCTCCTTAGATCTGTGGAGCCCTGGAACGTTCCCACTCTCCATCCCTGAAGCTGACCCCTGTCCCAAGCACCCACCCTAACCTCCAAGCCTATCTTCAAGGCAACACCCAGGTCTCTCGAAAGAAACTTCTGCCTCTGCTCCAGGAAGCCCTGTCAGAGTATTTTGACTCCATGAAGATCCCTTCAGGGCAGCCTGAGACAGTTGGTTTGTCCAGGGAGCAAGTGGACAAGGAATTGGACAGGGCAGGTAACTCACTGATTCCTGGACTGAGTCAAGATGAGGAGGAGCCTCCACTGCCCCCCACACCCATGAACAGCTTGGTGGATGAGTGCCCTCTGGATCAGGGGCTGCCTAAACTCTCAGCTGAGGCCATCTTTGAGAAGTGCAGTCAGATCTCGCTGTCACGCTCTACTGCTGCCTCCCTGTCCAAGAAGTGACTGTTGGGAGGGAAGGGGATAGTGAGAGAGGTTGCTTGAACCACCTCGAATGCATGTTTTGAGATGTTTCAGCAGTTCTGTCTTTATTGCTCCAGGATCTGGTGTACTGTTCTCATAAACCTGGGAGGAGAGAGAACTGGAAGAAAGCAGCTGCTTTAGGAATGGCTTTCTGCCTTGTCCCCCTAATCTCTACCAATCAGACAAATTTTATTGTTTAATTTAAATTTTTAAATCTGCATTGACTCTCTTCTGTTTCATTTGCCAAGGGCACAATGTAATACATACACAGTTCCAGCAGAGCAGCACAAAAAGAATGTGTACACCAAAAGTGCCCTCAGTAAGGCTCTTTACCAGAACAAATATCTCTCATGGAACCAAACGTTCATATATTGAATCCATGTCTCCATGTATTCATTTATTCTCTTATTAATTCAAGTATTTATTGAAACCCTACTTTAAGCTAGATAGAAAATAGAGTGTGCTTCGGAAACTTATTCCAGTTTTTAGCCTGTAGCAGATTTCCAGCTCCATAACTCCTCTTTCTGCCCCCAGTTTGGTGATGGTGCCTGATTCTGAGATGGCTAAATTTCTATTCTGAGCTTATTGTGACTCTCAGGATTGTTTAGAAGCAGATTGGAGGCCATTATCTTCTGTCCTGATCAGGTTTTCAGTTTCTTTGGATCTCTCTGTCCCAGAGCCACAGGGACCCTGAAGAAACCCAGAAGACCCCTGGTTCTTGAGAGTTCAGGAGACACCCAGGAAGGCCTTAAGACCTCATAGGCACTCTTCACAAAAGACAGCAAAACTGCATTGAGAGCCCTGGCTCTGTCCCCTGCCTGGGTGGATCAGTCAATTTCTTGTCCATCTCATTCTCTTCTTGCTCATAGTAATAAAGGAAGCATGAAGTTCTAATACTGACGGCCATGAACTATGTGTCTTTTGACAAGATACTTCATTTCTCTAGGTCTCATTTTTCCCATCTATAAAACTAAGGATCTGGACGAGATGTTCTCTGGTATTCTGTGATCTGCCTCTTGCTGCCATTGTTTCTCTCCTCTGCTTTTCTGTATTTTTTTTTTTCTGTTTTCCCTGGGAATATTCAGGGTCACTGGATTGTCTGTATTTATATGTGATTGTACCAAGAGACTCAGCCTCATGTAGCATGTACAGAGGTATGATTCATACATAGTGACCCAGCAAAGAGCTCCCTCCCACTGACTTGTTCTGCATGTGTAGAGTCTCCCTTTTTTCTTCAGACCAACCTGTTCCCCCTTTTCCTACCCCACAGCTCTATTCCATGTAAGTTGCCAATGGTTTCACTGAACAGTAGGGTCTGTGATAGTTTTGGCATGATGTCTTTAGTGTGTGGGGGACAGTCTGACTTTACTTTGAGGGTATGATGTGTGTAGCCATTGGAAGGTAAAAATAGTGGTGTGATTACTGAACCAAAGGAATTTATGTTTTGTAACTTGGGTACTTTATTTTGTATTTTGTTAAAGTATTAAATACTTTTTTTCCTGTTTGGGGTCTTATTATTGCCTCTTTTTACAACTATAATCAAGGCTTTCCCTCTGATAATTGTTTCAGCCTCCTCAAGATTCATCTCCCTTCTTCCTCCTGTACTTAATGTCTTCCTTCTGTTGACCCTTTGTGGGAATAATGAGCAACAGTCTTCTATCTCCCGTCATCCTCAGCCTTTCCTTTAACTTGTTTCTTCTTCTAGAACCCTCCTTATAACATACTTCTGTGTCCCTGATTTTGCTTATGCTCAAAAAGTAGGCCCAAAATAGTCTTAAAACCAAAATGAATTTTACCTTTGTGGTTTTTTTTTTTTTTTTTAAGAGCAGCTTCCAGGTTATAAGATGAGTCTGGAAAGGAGAACAAATTGCCTTCCTAGACTCCCCTAAAACTAGTCACTTTAGAAAATATACTTTCTTCCCCAAAACCCTCCCACACATAGGCAGGATTTTTCTTTTGGGCAAACCTACTCCTTGGGAATGGAGGTGGCAAAACCTGTTTGAAGGTGAAGTTACCTCCCTTCTACCCCTCCCTCCTCCTTGGAGGCAAGAGCAACAACAGCTGAGACAGAGAAAAGGGTACAGAAGTGTTGGGGAGCTGGGGTAATCAGCTTCCTGACAATTCCAAGTGTTTAAAGAGGGAAACAGGAAGACTGGTGAAGATGGGAACTATACAAGAAACAGGAGAAAATACATTAGATCTTGGGTAAGTGAGATCTCGGCTACCTTGATTGGAAGTGAGGAGTGAATAGTCTTGAAGGACTTTCCCACTATCCAGCTCTCACAGGTCAAATCTCAGGTTGCTAGAGGAGACAAGACTGTAAACGAGTTAATTTGCAGAGAAGGGATGGCGTTGGCTTTGGGTAGGAAACGTCAGTATGGTATGGGAGCTGGGGAACAGGATTACAGATAATTCCCTATTTCTTTTTAAAGGAAGTTTCTATATATTATGTCTGATAAATCTGCCCCTGTTCTCTGTCTCACCCTCCATAATGGCCATCGGGAAAGCTGACCCAGAACTAAATTTAGGTCCAGGTTCTCCTTCCCAGCAAATCTCTCTTCTTCCTTACCTTCCTCCCCCACCCTTCTACCTATGCCATGGTTTCCCCTAACCACTCCCCAGCGTGACGGAGGAAAGGCAGGCCTGACTAGGTGCCATCTTCCCCAGCTTTGCCCAGTGACAGCTGGGCAGGTCTGTCAGGTTCCAACCAATTGTAATGTGGAATACCTCTTACCCCTACTGTGTAGGTGGAGCAACTGCCGTAGAAGTAAATACAATTAGCTTTACATTCCATCCTTCCTCTGCTCCTAAACCCAGCAGTTGGGGTAATCTGTTTCCAGCAAGTGTAAATGTGGTAGAAACATCTATCTAGGAAACAAGAGACTTGAGTTCTTTTGAAGGCCTGCCCTCTGCTCTGTACCTTAGTTACTGTTCTTCATTCCAGTGTCTCCAACCTACTCTCCAGTTCCCTTAAGACACTGCCTATTTTGTCTCATGATAATCTTTTCTTCCGGGGGTCTATCACAGGGTCAGGGAGAATGCAGAAGCAGCAGGGCTAGGAGCATCCCCAAGACTTGGGGAACTGGAGCTGAAGGAGGAATGGCAGGATGAAGAATTCCCTAGGTGAGGAAGTGTGAGGGAGGTTGGGAGAAGGGGGGGGATGGTCACAAATGGAGGGCAGGGATGGTAAATTAGGACTTGAAGGAAAGAGGTGGCAAAAAGAAAGTGGAGATGATAAAATTATGGTGGGGAGAGAAAATTAATAAAGTGATACCTGGCTTGATGACTTTAGCCTATATTTCTGCCCCCTTTTAATCTTTTCCCCTCTAGATTGCTTCCTGAAGAGGCTGACCCTTCTGAAGATCCTGAAGATCCTAAAAGAGACTTGCAGGCAGGTAGGTAAATTAGAACCTAGGCCTCAAGTTCTTGATTCTAGTCCAGTGAAGGGTTATGCCACCCTTATCCCTTTAGGTTCTACTTCCCTTTTCCCAAATGTCCCCTGTGTTAGTCCTTCTTTAGAATTCACGCCATATTATCACTTCCATTTACAGGCATTCTGACCTCCCCTCACCAACACACATCTTTCTTTTCTTCTCTTCCCTCCTCCAACCCCAGGCACCCCCAGCACTTTAGCCTTGTGTGGCCGGCGCTGTATGCGCAAACGTCTTTCTGCCCCAGAGCTGAGACTGAATCTGGCTAAGAGGCCTGGAGATAATGGAGCTTCTCCCACCCACTCTGTACCTTCCTCTACTGATGGCAGTTCTGACCTGGAGGTAGACGAATTGGAGACACCTTCAGACTCGGAGCAGCTGGACAGTGGACATGAATTTGAATGGGAAGGTAGGAAAGAAACCTGAGGACTGAACTGGTAGAAGTAGAGGCCAGTGTTAAAGAAGCTCAGGATGGATTTAATGGGACTGAAGTTAGAACTAATAAGGTGGAGACCAAGAGGTAAGGTCAGCAAAATTAATTTCTTCAGAATGGAAAGGTAGAACTACAGATCCAATATGAGAGTAGTCGGCGGGGGGAGGGTGTCCTTTGTTTATTAAGGATAATTTTATTGAATGACTGTTACATGTTATCACTGAGCTAGAACTGAGTTATAAAGATGAATAAGATAGTTCCTACCCTCAAGGAATTCTCTGTTTAGTAAGAAATAAACATATCTACAAATAAGTGCAGTTAAATATTATGATCTACATGTGTGTAGAGTACAGTGTAGGCAGGGAGAAGGAAGAGGTCAGTTCTGCCCGAGGAGCTAGGAAAAACTTCGCAGAAGAGGTGATTCTGAGCTGATGTTTATCAGGTAGTTGGAGAGACATTCTAGGTGGAAGAAGCAACTTGAGCAATAGCATGGCATGTTGGGGAATTTAAAGCATTTAGCATGACTATTTATATATTAAGGAAAACTTTGTTTCTTCTCTACTTACAACACTTCTGACACCAAATGTGTGGGTTTTCCCCACACCAACCAATTCTCCAACTCTCCAGACACCAACTGGGTGTCCTACAATTCAATTATGACATTTAACTGGAGTTAGTGCAGACCCCACAGGTTAAGAGCTCACCTACAGGACTGCCCCCAGACTTCAGACACCACTCACATGTCCAGGTTCTGGACATCACCTATGCTTCTGACCAACTGGCTACAAATCAGAGATTCCCACTACCCCCTCCTCAGGTTTGATAATTTGCTAGAATGGCTCACAGAACTCAGGAAAACAGTTTACTTACTAGATTACAGGTTTATTATAAGAGGATACAACTCAGGAACAGCCAGAAGGAAGAGATGCATAGGACAAAGTATGTGGGAAGGGATGTGGAGCTTCCATGCCCTCTGGGGGTGCACCACCCACCCGGCACCTCCATGTGTTCACCGGAAGTTCTCAGAACACCTTCAGTTCAGGTTTTTTATGGAGGCTTCATACATAGGCATGGTTGATTAAATCACCGACCATTAGTGATTATCACAACCTCTAGTTTCTCTCCCCTCCCCAGAGGTCAGAGGGTGAAAGTTCCAACTCTTTAATCACATGGTTGGTTCCTCTGTCAACCAGCCACCTATCCTTAGGGGCTTTCCAAAGTCACCTCATTAACAGAAACTCAAGTCGTTGCAAGGGGCTTTTTATAAATAACAAAAGATACTCCTTTCACCTTTATTATCAAGAGCTGTTTCAGGAACCAGGGACAAAGCCAAAATATATATTTATTATTATATCACAGATATGTAGGGCTGGGAGGTGAAGGGAGAATGACAAAAGGTAGTGCTATGTTAAGCAGGCAAGGGTCAAATCCTGGAGATCCTTGCTACCATGCTAAGGAGTTTAGATTTTGTCCTGTAGGCAATGGGGAGTCATTGAATGGTTTTGATCAAGGGAGTAAAATGATTAAATTTAATGGCTCTGAAAAGATTGGAAACAAGCTAAAAGTCCATCAGTAGGGTATTAATTCTATTATGGTGCATCCGACAATGGAATACTAAATACTAGGCAACTATTTTTTAAGATGAGGCAGCTCTTTCTATTGCTGTGGAAAGATCATGCAGAATTAGTGGGTATGGTGTATTGCCATTTGAGTAAAAAAGGTAGAGGAGAAAAGAAAGCTTACTCTAGCAGTGGTGTAGAGGGTGGAATGGAGGAAAACAGACTAGAGGTGGGGAGACCAGTTAGGAGGCTGGTACTAAGGCCAGGTGAGAAATGCTAAGAACCTGAACCAGGACAGTAGTTGTGGAAAGAATGATAAAAGAATATAATGGAGGTAGATGGCAGGGGATCTCGGGTCCAGTTGGCTTCAGGGCTGATAGAAAAGAAAGAATCTCAGATGACATACAGTATTCTATCTCAGGCAGCTAGATGGATGGGGTTGTTCATCAAGAAAGGAAATATGGGAGAGAGGAGGAAGAGAATAAGTCTGAGTTGCACTTTGGGTCTGGTAACTCAGAGATGACAGAGAGACACAAAATAGAGATGTCCACTCTAGGCAGTTAGGGATATAGGTCTGGAGTTAGGAGAGAAGTCTGGGTTAGAGAGGCAAATTGGCATCCTCACCTACCTGCTGGTAATTGAAGACATGGGATTAGATGAACTAACCCAAGGAAAAGCATGGAAGAAGGAAATAAAGAATCCAGAAAAAGCTGATACTGGCAACAGCCATCAACATGCCATAGGGCAAGGTTACCTCAGGGCTGTTGTCTAGTGGAAAGGTGAGGGTAATGAGTTGCAGGAAAGAAACTAGGAAGGGGTTGGGTTGATTGGACAAACTAGAACTAGAGTCACGGAAAAAAATTGAAGAAGGAGAGGTTGGAGTAAGAAACTCTAGGAATCTGGAGAAGTTACAAGATACTCAAGGTATATATTCTGCCTTGTTGATCCTTCCCCATCCCTCTCTTTTAGATGAGCTGCCCCAGGCAGAGGGTCTGGGGGCCAGTGAGGCAGCTGAAAGGCTGGGCCGGGGTTGTATGTGGGACGTGGCTGGAGAAGATGGTCATCACTGGAGGGTGTTCCGAACAGGACAGCAGGAGCAGCGAGTGGACATGACTGTCATTGAGCCCTATAAAAAAGTCCTATCTCATGGAGGTAATGGATAGCATAAGTGGAGGTGTAAGAACTGTGACTTCTTGAATAATTCCCTAAGCTGGAAACTCAGTTATTGGGTTCAAAATCCTTCCTGTAACTTCCAGAGACCCTCAGAGTCCCTCAACCTAAATGCACTATCTGTCAATAAATATTTGTTGACTGAATGAATTTTCCCCTTATCTTCCCCAGGTTACCATGGTGATGGCCTCAATGCTGTCATCCTTTTTGCCTCCTGTTATCTACCCAGAAGCAGCATCTCCAACTATACCTATGTCATGGAACACTTGTTTAGGTGAGGTGGAAGGCCTGAAGGGCTTCAGGGTGGATGTTAGGGAGGGAAAAGGAAAAAAAAAACCCTTCCATGATCAGTAGCTGATTGTAGAGTTTATAGTAATGTCCCTCTCAATCCCCACAACCCCAAACACATACTTTCCCTGACAATTTCGTCCCCCCAGGTATATGGTAGGAACTCTGGAGCTGCTGGTAGCTGAAAATTATCTGCTTGTTCACTTGAGCGGAGGCACAAGCAGGGCCCAGGTTCCACCTCTGAGCTGGATACGCCAGTGTTACCGCACTCTGGATCGGCGGTGAGCCTCTGGGACGAGAGGGCTACAACTCTCTATCTTTTCTTTTTCTTTTCCATCTTTCCATCCTTTCTTCATCCATTTAGTCCCTTCCTCTTTTCTTTGTCCCTCTACACCCCTTTCCAAGCCTGTTCTGTCTTCTGTCCTCTCTTGGAGTCAGGGAAATCTACTGTCAAATCTTGCCTTCACCACTTACTAGCTGTATGACTTTGGACAAGTCACTTAACCTTCCTGGGACTCTGTTTCCTTATCTGTGAAATGGCAGTGATAATACCTTAGCCCCCGGGTATTTGTGAAAATCAATGTGGCATACTGCCTGGCACATAGAAGGCACCCCTGCCTATCTCACAGTCTTGCCATTTATTTCACTTTCCACATCTCCATTGTCTTCTTTTCTTCTCTGCCTTCATCCCTGACCCAGATGTCTTTTTTCCCCCTGATGTTCCTTTTTTTTTCCTTTCTTTCCCCCATCTTCCCATTGCTCACTTTCTGTTTCTTTTTGCTTCTTTTCTTTTTTTTTCTCCTCACTGGTCTTCTGCCTGGAGTTTTATAAATAGTCCTGGTCATGGAGGGATGGAGAAGTGTACAAAAAGGACTTAGGCAAGAGTAGGGCACAGGAGGAAAATGGGGTAGAGAAGACCACGCTGAGGAATTCTGAGAGGAGAGTTTCCTAAAAATGAGGAGCATGGAGGGCTAAACAAGATAGATGGAGCTGAGATTGCAGTTAAAGGAATGAGGAGTAAACCCAACTGCCAGAAAAATCTAGAAATCAGAGCAGACGTGAAGGAAGTTAAAGTACAGAAGATAGCTCCACCTGATCTTCAGGCCTGAAGGTGGGAGAAGAATAGGATGACCTGCTATTCTTCTTCAGGCTCCGGAAAAACCTGCGCGCCCTGGTTGTTGTCCATGCTACATGGTATGTGAAGGCATTCCTGGCACTGCTTCGGCCCTTCATCAGGTACTAGCTCTGGGAATAAGGAGTCCCTGCCCCTTCTCCCCATTTTCAAAATCAAGATTAAGAAGATCTTGCCCCACCCCGACTCTTTATAGCTTTAACCACTCTTTACTTGGCACATTTCCCTTTGTAAGAGTCTCCAGGAGCCCTCTTCTTAGTATAAAACACACTTGGTTTATCATTTCTTTTCAGTTCCAAGTTCACACGAAAGATCCGTTTTCTGAACAGCCTGGGAGAACTGGCCCAACTCATCTCCTTGGATCAGGTCCACATCCCTGAAGCTGTCAGACAGTGAGTCCTTAGCTTAAGGACAAAGGTTTGGGGTGGGATGTGTAAAGCCAGTGCCCACTTTCCTTGAGGGAGAAACATAGGAACTAAAAGATAGAGCTCCTGAGGGCTGGCCCGTGGCCTAGTGGTTTAGTTCAGCATGCTCCACTTCAGCAGCCCAGGTTCAGATCCTGGGCACAGACCTACACCACTCATCGGCAACCATGCTGTGGTGGTGACCCACATACAAAATAGAGGAAGATTGACACAGATGTTAGCTCAGGACTAATCTTCCTCAGCAAAAAAAAAAAAAAAAAAAAAAGAAGAGCTCCTGCTTTCAGATGCTTCAATGTATCTGGGAAAACTACACACACCCAGAGAAGAAATTAAGGACACTACTATATCCCACAAGAACAAATGAAAACACTATACATGTAAGTGCAGGGGTAATTACAGCACAGAGTTCAGAGGAGATTCAGACCAGCCCTAGAAATTAGGAAAGGATGTGTTGGCAGTGAATAGGAGAGATGATCCAGTGGGGGAGGAGTGCAGGGAGCAAAAGATCCTAAATGATTGACGACTCAAGCATCCAGTCTTCTAGCTCTTCCAGTTCACCTGCCTCTCTCCCCAAACCAGTGAGTAAAACCCACGTCCTGCTCCTGTACCACTTTATTTATTTACTTATTTTTCTTTCTGTGTCTCCTAGGCTGGACCAGGATCTCCATGGCTCAGGAGGGACCTAGCATAGGACTGGAATAAAAGGACCTTAGAACAAAGCAAAGATATTGATCTGCCTACACCCTAACTGCTGCAACATCTAAGCTGTTTAATAAATCATCTCATCAACCCTAGTACCACTGGATTTTCACATCTCAATGGAGTGTCATTCCTTCCATGACCCTGCCTTCAAATCAGGGCTTTGAGGTCCTGAACCTGATCTGCTGGGTGACTTTCATTTCAGCTGTAGCGGGGGGTGCATGTAGTGGCATTTTCTATGGGACAGTGCAAAGCTGTGTGTTTTAGTCCTGCTTTAGCTGTAGAACCTCCGGCAGATAACTGCATCTCTTTGAGTCTCCTCCTTTTCCTCCTCTGTAAATGAAGGTGCTGCGATCCTTTCCGCCTGGGTAGTCCAGCAGTCGGTGAAGGTGAGGGGCGGACCAGAAGGCAGGGCGTAACTGACCACAGCCAGCCTGCCTGCTGGGAGCCAGGAATCAGCTCCTAAATCTTGAAGAACCACTTGTATTCCCCTGTTCTTCTTAGTTATGTCTGCTGCCTGTGAGCCTGGGAAGGAGTGCTTTCAAAACCTGTATTTTTGTCCTCTTTAGTAAATTCAGATCTGTAGCGGCTAATAAACCATGAGAGATTTAAGCTCTGCCTCGAGAAAGTGAAGTGCTCTTCCCCACCCCTTGCATCACAATCCGCCTGTGGCTTCGGCACGGAGTTCCTGCGCAGAGGCTCCCTGGGCTTTTAGCTCAGCCCCTGGGTCTGTGGGAGCTCCGGAGGGGAGAGGGTCTGGGGGAGGGGCGAGGCGCGCGTGCCTCGGAGCCCCCCCGCAGGCTTCCGTTCAAACGACCCGGTGGGTCGAGAGCGGAAGGGAGGGAGAGAAGGTAGGAGCCCCGGCCTCCCTCACTGGCCTCCCTCCCAACACCACACCGCCCAGCCCCATGGTCCCCGCCGCCGGCGCGCTGCTCTGGGCCCTGCTGCTGAGTCTGGGGCTCCAGGCGGCGGGGGCCCAAGGCCTGACTCCGACGGGGATGCAGCGGGTCAGTTTCCGCTTTGGGGGCCCTATGACCCGCAGCTACCGGACCACCGCCCGGACTGGTGTTCCCCGGAGGATGAGGGTAACAATAGAGGATGAGGATGACCTTGCGGCCGAGGCCGACCGCCTGGCCGGCCCGGCCGCTGCCGAGCTCTTGGCCTCCACAGTGTTCACAGGCGTCAGCCGGTCGCGTTTGCTGCAGGAGGAGGATGGGTCTTTGGAAGAGGGGGTTGTGATTAATGCCGGAAAGAGTAACACCAGGTCGGAGACTCCCAATATGGATTCCAGTACAGCGAGGGGTCCCAGCTCGAGGTTTACAGCGAATAGCCACGAGCCGGAAATCAGGCTGACTTCGAGCCCGCCGCCCTCCACCTGGAGGTCTAGTGGGGACCTGCCACACTCCGAGAGTACCCTGAACCAGTGGTCAGCAGCAGGGTCCACGCCGAACCCGTGGCCACCACCCTCGCCCACAGCCATGCCACCTCCCGAGGATCTGCGGCTGGTGCTGATGCCCTGGGGCCCGTGGCACTGCCACTGCAAGTCAGGCACCATGAGCCGGACCCGGGCCGGGAAGCTGCATGGCCTTTCAGGACGCCTTCGAGTTGGGGCGCTGAGCCAGCTCCGCACTGAGCACCGGCCTTGTACCTACCAGCAATGTCCCTGCAACCGGCTTCGTGAGGAGTGCCCCCTTGACTCAGGTCTCTGTCCTGACACCAGCTGCACCACTCAGACCACTACCACCACCACCACCACTAGCTCCATGCCCCCCCTCAGCACCAGACTCAGACCCACCCCCTTCCCCCTCTCCAGCCCCAGCCCCAGCCCAGCCCTTGCTTTTTGGAAACGGGTCAGGATTGGGCTGGAGGATATTTGGAACAGCCTCTCTTCAGTGTTCACAGAGATGCAACCAGTAAGTGTTTGGTGATGAGCCAGGAACCTTGTTGATGGATCTGAAGTCCTGATATCCAAAACCCTGTTGCTAAACCAGCCAGTCTGCTTGCATGAGCTGTTACTTACCTGTTTGGTTATTGATTTATAATATGCATCGGTCATTCGCATTACTGTTAGCCATTGATTCCACCTATGATTTCTTGGGCAACTGCTGGTTGGTTATTAGGCAACGTGTATTCTTGGTCATTAGATGATTATTGACCAAATTGTTAAGACTGTAGATATATAAAGAATTCTTGATGCACAGATAATTAGTGGATATAGAAGCTATTAATTGTTTTAAGCTTATTAATGCAGCTTAACAGTAACAACAGCCAATTTTTGAGACCTTACTCTGTGCACTTTACCCGGATCAATCCTTACAACGCTATGAAGAAGTGGGGGTTTACAAAGCTAGTAAGTGGCTGAGTCACAGCAGGATTTAAACCGGGTTTGTTTGACACTAGTGCTGATGCTCTTAACCACCACTATCCCAAAGAACTGTCCTTCTGGGATTATTCCCAGCAACCTAAGAATTCTCAAGGAAGGACAGTCCTCTGCTTTACCGAAAGAGCTACCAATAGTTCTGATTGACCTGACAAAATATTCTCAATTGATAGGATGACAGGACCTTTGGGGAGAGGGGAGGACAATAAAATGTATACTTGGTCATTTTGCTGGTTTCTGTTTTCGTATTTCTCCTCGTGTGTCCAATACCATTATTCAATACAAAAAAGAAGCATTAATAGGGGGCAGAGGTGTTGAGGGAAAGGTTTGTGGGGAGAGGAAGATGAAGCAAGGAAGGGAGGAGAATATAGATGTGGTTATAATATTTCCCCTTTTCTCTCTTTTCTTTCCTTACTCAGATAGAAAGAAACCAGAGGTAATGGCCACTTCATCTGCAAGAAGAGGTGTTGGCATCTCAACCTCTCCTTCCATTTCAATCCCAGCACCCACTGGATATTTTTAGTACAGAAAAACAAAACTAGAAAAAACAGTTGTTTGGTCTTGTTTTTTTTACAGAGGTATATGAGGGAGGAGAGACCATAAATCTCTTGAACCTTAAAACTGAACTGTGTAGCTAACAGCATCTGGCTTGGTCCCTTCCCCTGTTCCCCAAGATAAAATGTTGATGTTGCTCATCTTCCTCATTTCCAAAGTTGTTTTTAAATGAGTACTTCTTTAAAGACTTGAAAAATCTCAGATGAATGACAAGAAAAGGGAACAGGAAGAACAAAGAGTTGAGCCCTTGGAAGATGATGGTGGTCTTCTCTTTGCCTTCACAACACTTAGCCTTCTCTCCTCGGAAAGGGCAATGTTGGTACAAAATTCCATGTCAGCCACTTTCTAGGAGTACCTTCTTCAACTATATCTATCCTTTAGCCCAACACACACCTATAGTGATTACTCTGCGACTATTTTGCTTAAATTTTTTATTTGAAAAATGTATTTAAAAGTCCAACAAAATTTTAATATAAATTATGACTCTCAAACCCATCCCCACCACTCTAAATATCGTAAAAGTGATGGTAGCATACACGTTAGAGAAGTAGCTAACAGCAAGAGAGCACCAAAGAAGAAGATTGTGTCCAAAGAATAGGCATTAGAACAAGGCTGAAGATCAGGGTGACCAGAGATTCCAGGAGTCCCCCATCTTTCCACCCTATCCTGTTGAACCTTCAAATCTAGTATAACCCTCAGGCTATTGAGCTACTTTAGGGCAAAAAGATGCACTACTTTCAGAGCAACTAGCTGGACTGGAACTGAGAGTAGGTTGGGAATGTCTCTGTATGACCAATCTTAGACCCTGAAACACTGCAGGAAACACACTGAAATTTGAAAAAATTAGAACTTCAGTCACTCCAGGTGGGGGCAAACTGGATGGATGGTGGAATCATCAGAGTGGATCCTAGTTCCCACATTCTTGACCCCCACTATCATCAAACAGGATGCTTCCTGTTACTGAGCTAAGGAGAGACCCCCGCCTTCTTATCTCAGAGCAAGTAGGAGCTCATCTGTCCTGTTCTGCCTTCCCAGTCAACCTGCAAGGAAGAGGCCAGAACAAAAAACACCTGAGAAAACTGAAAGTGCCTAAAGACCCTGCTCCTATATTACTTTCCCACCTAAAGCAGACTCTTCAGCCAGGTGGGGAGTGGGACCCGGTCTTCAGACAAACCTCCCTGAGTCTTATTTGTGTCTGGTTCTAGGACTAGGGCACAGAAATAGAGCTTAAAATTTGGGAAGGATACGCTGGGGTGTCTGCGGCTCTACCACTTTTCTGTTCCTCCCTTCCCCAATCCCACCATACCTTGTTCACGCCTCTACACCGCAGGAACCCCTCCTCCAGAGAGCCAAGAATGGAGAAGCACAGTGCACGTCCACCACAGAGACACGAACCCATACAAGCACAAGCAACACATTGAATGAAGAATTGTTTGGAGATAATGTTAAGCCCTATTGAGCCTACTTTACGAGGGGGCCTAGTTCATCCAGGGCTCAGGCTTAGGATGAACAATGAGATGGGGGTAGGGTGGGGGGTGGAAATCACTTGAGAGAAAAATATCTTGACTCTAGAGCAGTGGCTCTCAACTGGGGGTGATCTTGTCCCCTAGGAGACATTTGGCAATGTCCAGAGACATTTTTGTTTGTCATAACTAGGGTGGGCCAGGGATGCTGCCAAACATTGTATGATGCATAGGACAGTCCCCCACTACACAGAATTATCCAGCCTCAAATGTCCAAAGTGCCTAGGTTGAGAAGCCTTGCTCTAGAGGTTGCCCTGCTCCCATGCTGTGAGGATCTTAAGATCCCTAAACTCATAGATGATGATTTTTTTTTTTTTTTTGTGAGGAAGATCAGCCCTGAGCTAACATCTGTCGCCAATCCTCCTCCTTTTGCTGAGGAAGACTGGCCCTGGGCTAACATCCGTGCCCATCTTCCTCCACTTTATATGGGATGCCGCCACAGTATGGCTTGATTAGCGGCGCATCGGTGTGCCCCCAGGATCCGAACCCCGGGCCACCGCAGCAGAGCGCACACACTTAACCGCTACGCCCCCGGGCCGGCCCCTAGATGATTATTTTCAACCTATTTCTCTCACTGCTTCTGCCATCCTCAATGGCCAGGAAGTCCACCCTGAGACATAACTCCTAATTTTGCTGCATTCTGAGTTTCTCTCCAGCTCCCTCTTCCTCCTCTCACCTGGGCCAGCAGGGAGGTTGGCAGAGGGCAGGCCAAGTCCCCAAGACTTAAATGGAATGTCATTAGGTTAAGATCCACCTCTTACCTTAACTCATATTCAGTGGGAAACAATAAGGTTCCTAAAAGGGATGGGGTTAACAGCAGAGGTAGTAGTAGGATGGGGGTAATTAAGAGAACTCATCTTAAATTAAAATTTTAATTAATTAAAAAAAAAAAGAGAGAGATGTTGGGAAGCTAGCAATGCTACAGAAACAGAGAGTTAGAGGCCTAACTAGAGAAAGACCCTGGTACTGGCAGAGAGATATTGAGGGACTGTGAGCTTAAGGTCTGAGATCTACAGAGAAAGAGTAGACTAGGCAGTGGTCACCCTCTCAGCCTCTGCTTGATGTCTGCTTCAGTCCACTCCAAGAGGAAAGAGGAGAAGGCAGGGAGGTAGGGAGTTTCTCAGCAAAGCCAGCTTCAGCTTTGGTAATCTCACCCACCTGCCCCATTTAAGGAGTTCCAGGTTAAGAGTTTAAAAACAAATGGCACCTAGACCGTCATTCAGGAGAAGGGAACTCATTCCAGTTTCCCAGAAAACTCCTATCTCAGATCTGAGAGTGTCCAGGACTTCAGCTGAGCTCCTCTGGCCAACCAGTAGTAATTTGGTCAGTCCTGCTGCCTTGACCCCATCTCCAGGAGGGGCTCTAGCCAGAGAGAATAGAGGGAGTCCAGCCCCCAAGCCTTTTGAGGCACTATTAGGGGAACAGGGAAAAGAGAGGCCCTGGGGTCACTGGTTGTAGGAGGAATCTGGTAGGGGCAGCATCTCTTCTGGGCTGGACAGAGTAGGGTTTCAGACAGCAGAACCTGATTAAAAAAAAAAAAAAAAGAAAGAAGGAGGATTAGACTCAAAGAAAACAGAGGCCTTAGGGAGAAGGCGCCACCTAGTGCAGACGCTGAACTATTTTCACAGTGTGCTCTCCTTTATTTCTATGTGTCTGCACGTCCCTTTCTGGATCCTACATTCTTGATTCTTCCATTCTACTTCTTTTTCCCCCTGCTCACTTCCCATTCTTGCAGAGGATCAGGGTTCTGAGGCAGGGCATCAGGATGTGTTGGCAGGGGGCTGGAGGTGCTGGATGGGTTTCTCTAGTCACTCACCATTCCTGTTGGAGCTACAAGCCCCTAGAATTGCTCCATGGCCTGTCTCGGTTTCCCTTGGATCTCATCTGCTCCTGAACTGCACCTGTCTGTGAAAAAGCTCATGTGAGACCCCCTCCTAAGTCTTCATATCACACAGTTAAGAGATCTCCCTTGTGCCCTCCATCGAAGAGGTTGACCCCATCTCCCTGATGATAAAATCAATCTGAAAAGGTTAAAACTAACTGTCATTCCTCCAAGGGAAGTCTCAGTGCCTCCCTTCACACCGACCTTCATGAGGATTAGATAAAATGGGTCTTCTACTAATAAGATCCTCTCACAAAGGACTGTCTCATATTTATCTGAGTTTCACGTGGTGAAAAGACTCCTTCACTATCTCCAGGCCCATTTCCCTTATTTTGAGAGCAGAAAGGCATATTAGACATTATTTAGGACAGAAGTGCTCAGGCATTTTTGTGCCCCAACCTCCCAATCACAACATGACTTACTATGGCACTGAGATAGCAATTCTTAATTAACAGAAGGAAGGGTTATAGTTTTTGGAAAAAGCCCTCCAACTAACTTTTTTTTTTTTTTTTTTGCTGAGGACCATTAGCCTTGAGCTAACATCTATTGCCAATCTTCCTCTTTTTTTGCTTGAGGAAGATTCACCCTGAGCTAACATCCGTGCCAATCTTCCCCTACTTTATACACAGATTCCCACCACAGCATGGCTGACAAGTGGTGTAGTTCCACACCCAGGATCCAAACCCACAAACCCAGGCCGCCAAAGCAGAGCATGCCGAACTAAACCACTATGCCATGGGGCCGGCCCCTCCAAGTAACTCTTAAGACATATCTCCCCCATCCCAATAAAGAACAATCTGCTCATTGTAAAGATGAGGGAGCCTAGGCCAGAGATCTGAAATGCCAGGTCTCAGGTTTATGCAGCTAATGACCAGGACTAGAATCCTAGCTTCTTGCTTCTACCTTGACTATTTGATTAAGTCCCCTGCTTGAACTTTCAAAAAGGGGAATAGTTCTAGGCCACAATCCTTTATCAACCTCTCCCCATTCCCTTGTTACCATGGCAAGTCCATCTCCGGCCCCCATTTCCCCAGAGCCAATGTGAGTCAGGTGGACAAAATTCATTGGTTCCCCAATCATGGTCCGGTCAATTCGTCTCCTCTTCTTCTTCTGCTTGGAGAAAACAGGTGAGTTATATCTTAAGCTCCCTCCTCTGGTCACAGTGGAGGAAGGGAAGAGTCTTGAAAACCACTAAGGGAAGAGCTAAGGGCCTAGTGGGAAAGGGAATGAGGCATTGTAACAGGGAAATCACTAGAGTATGAAAGGCAAGGCTGGAACAACATAAACACAGGGAGGACACAGGCAGGGTGGTGAGGGCAGTGGCCTGCAGAGTGAATACTGGACAAAGAAAGGACATGTCAAAGTCACCTCTGGCTGATGAGGAAACAATGGGGGAAACTGACAGATATTAGGCTCCACCTACAACCCCTACCAAACTCAGAATGGACAGGAACAGGAAGTGATAGCTAGGACATCACCGAGTCCCCTTTATTCCATGTACACACCTGCCTGGCCATAGAAACTATCCTGACAGAAAGGGAGGCAAGAACTGTGCTTCTGAAACAGCAGACCCTAGACAGTGTGTCTACTCCACGGTATGCGGTAACTGATTTCTGTGTGTTGGGTGGGGGTGGGGAGACTCACCGGCTGGGGTTTCTCTACCACGCAGCAGCCCAGTTTGTGCCAAAATTCGCTCATGTTCCCTGATGGTTCCAGTTTCACTCCTCTGCTTGAGGCCCCAGTGGGCTCTTCCTCTGGTGCCTTGACCGCCTACTCCTCAATCCCCTCAGGTGTAATAACACCCTGGGTTCACTCAGCTGGATGGGTCTAGAGACAGTGGAGTCCTTGGAACCCTTAGCTGAGCAATGAAGGTCAGCGTATCTGACCTGAGAGACTAGCAGGCTCAGAGAGTTGGGTGGGCAGGCAGGCACAAGGTTATGTCTTCTTTAGACTTGGAAGCTTGGATAAGCAGAAAGTAAAGAGAGAAGAAAGGTTAATGAGAAACACCCCCCACTCCTTGAAGAAGCTTCCTGATGAGCCCATATCTTCTCATTCTCCCCTAAAGGCCCTAGTCCTGTACCCAACACTAACCTCCTCCAAACATAAGAACCTCAGAGTGTGACTCTCAGAGAAAGGAAAAGAACCAGAAGGACACTAAGGGGTTAAGGAGCAGTAGGTGTTGGTAACAAGGGAGAAGAAAGAAGCTAGAAGCATTTAGAGTGAGAGGACGGGTGGGGACCAAAGGATAGTGGCAGAAATGAGCAAAGTCTGGGGGTGCTACAAGCTCCACCTCCCTCCTCCCTGGGTTTGGGGCAGAAGGGGAGGGGCATCTAAGTGACTATGAAGAGGAAATGGTGGTTTTTTGTTCTCACAAACAAGGCCTCACCCCTGTCCCTCCCTTTTTCCTTACCTTACCCTCAACAGCCAGATTTTCTGTAAGACCAAGAGAGGCCTTGAATACCTAGGTCCTAGGTGACTAACTGCAGCAGGCTGGACTTCAAGAAAGACTTTCTACAGTGAGGAATTTCTTCCTTCTCTCTTCCCTGCCCTTATTCTCCTTCATTTCCCTCAACTGAGATCCAAATCCTCCTAGAAGCCATTTAACAGTTCCATTATTATTTGACCTTGAGATCCTTCCTGAAGGCTGTATACATTCTGTTTATCTGTGTCCTGCATCACTGCACTCCAGTGTGCACCTTCGGTTGCACATATGTGGCTAGCCACATCTCCATGTGCATGTCCTGTATAGATTATCTGTGCACAGGTTGTAGGTACATGTGCCAGGTATCTTGTGTCCCATGAGAAATCTTTTCCCAGCCTCCCCACCCTCTTCACATGTCCTATCGTGCCACTCTGCTCTGCCTCACACCCCATAGTGCCTGGGCCTCCCTCCCTCACTCCCTCCTCCCCTCATGCTGTGACCTGTTCTCTCCTCCTTCCTCACCACTTCCACTCCCAAGCTTCATCAGCCAACCAGACACAAGGAACTTTCCAATAGCATTAGTGTCCAAGGAAGAACTTTCTCCCCTTTTCATTATTGCCACCCCTTTTCTTTTTGCCAGCCAGCGTAGGGCACACCTGGGTTTCCTCTATTCTCACTGCATTTCCCCAGTCCTATAATACAGGCAGCCTCAAAGATTCCAAACAGGGCAGTTTCATGAATATGACACTTTAGCATGAATAGGAATCTCCCTTACCTCCAGGCCTGGAACTCTGATGCTCTGGCACCCTAGACTGATCTAAGAACTGAGAGGTTTTTTTTTTTTAACAGCCTTGAGATAAGATCACACAAACACTGAGATACAGCTTCTAGGGGAGGGAAGGACCCAGGAGTCTGGGCTTTCTCTTACTTCCCTTCCCACCACTGGACGGGAGGAGTAATGAGACAGGGCGGAAGTCAGAATGCAGCTGTCCAGAGAGGAGGGCTGTGGTCAGTGGGGAAATCAGTCAGTCACAGGGTTTGTCATGATGTTGGTGGTGGCGGGTGGTAAGGGATGGAGGTGGGGGGAATGAAGAAAACAATGAAGAATCAGAGGAAACCCCCAACCAGACAGGCTGTACTGAGACTGCACTCTCCCCC